GAGCCCGCGGGTTCGAGACCCACCTGGGCAACTTGGCGAGACCTTGTCTCTATAATAAATCAAAAATTAGCCAGGTGTGGTAGCACGCGCCTGTCGTTCCAGCTACTTGGAAGGCTGAGGCCAAAGGATCGCCGGAGTCCAGCAGGTCAAGGCTGCGGTGGCCGGGAGCAGCCACTGCCCTCCAGTCTGGGCGACAGAGTGAGACTCCAACTGAAAAAATTAAAATTAAAAAAATTAAAATGGCCTGACTCGGTGGCTCAGCCTGTAATCCCAGCACTTTAGGAGGCTGAGGTGAGTGGATTGCCTGAACCCGCGGGTTCGAGACCTGCCTGGGCAACTTGGCGAGACCTCATCTCTACAATCAATCAAAAAATCAGCCGGGCGTGGTAGCGCGCTACTCTAGTTCCAGCTACTCGGGAGGCTGAGGCGGAAGGATCACCGGTGCTCAGCAGGTCGAGGCTGCGGTGGCCGGGAGCGGCCACTGCACTCCAGTCTGGGCGACGGAGTGAGACTCCAACTCAAAAAAAAAAAAATTAAAATGTATTGTAATTGTATTCTATTAGCCCCATGGACTTTGCACGGCCTGTATCCTTCAAAAATGCAGACATCGGTCGCTGTGTCTATCAGAAACCCCGTGAAGATGAAGATGGAACAACCCCAGCCGAAATCATAATCCAGCCTGAGCCCGTTCCTACCCCAGCCTTTCTGACACCCACCCCAGTCCTGGCACATGTAAGTGTTCGTATGATCCCCATTTCTTGCTGATGTACACCCAGCATTTTGTGTCATTTCAGAAGAAAGATTATATATATATATATATATATATATATATATATACACACACACATATGCAAAAACACACAATCTTTTATAATATTGGAGTTAGAATTCTCTTCATTTGACCGTGGGCTCCAGAGTCAGTACCTGTTCACATCCTAGCATTGTCACCTGCCAACTGTACAGATTTGGGAAAGCTACTTAGCCAATCTATTCCTCAGTGTCCTCATTTTCAAAATGAAGGTAGTAACAGCATATACAGCAGAGAGTTATCATCAGGATTTTCAAATATAATGTTTGTGAAATACCTCACATATACTAAGCATTGAACAAATGGCATGATTACTGTATAGTAATAATAATAGTTACTACTTTCAAGTGCTTGCTGTATGCCAACCACTGGCTAAACAATTTCTATTCAGTATTATATGGAATTCTCTTAACAGCTCTGTACAATATAATTTATCATCCCATTTTTAATAGAGATGATAAGAATGGTCTAGTTTAAGTAACTAATCCACTCACACAGCTAGTAGACAGCAGAGGAGGAATTCTAATCTAGTGGGTCTGACTACAAAGTCTGGCTCCTTACTTCTAAAACACCTATCTTTACAATTAACTCGACTTTCAATAGCCCATTGTGGGCTCTTTTTTTTTTTAGTTGGAGTCTCACTCTGTCGCCCAGACTGGAGTGCAGTGGTACGCTCCCAGCCACCGCAGCCTCGACCTGCTGTACTCCATTGATCCTTCGGCCTCAGCCTTCCAAGTAGTCGGAACTACAGGCACGCGCTCCCACACCCGGCTAATTTTTTGATTTTATTGTGGAGATGAGGTCTCGCCAAGTTGCCCAGGCAGGTCTCGAACCCGTGGGTTCAGACAGTCCTCTCGCCTCAGCCTCCCAAAGTGCTGGGATTACAGGCTGAGCCACTGAGCCCGGCCGGCCGATTGTGGGCTCTTTAGAGTGTTGCCAGTGTTTCACTATTAGAAACTATACTATGGCTGGGTGTGGTGGTTCACTCTTGTAACCCCAGCATTTTGGGAAGCCAGGGCGGGAGGATCGCTTGAGACCAGGAGTTTGAGACAAACCTGGGCAACATAGTAAGACCTGGTCTATACAAAAAAACTTGAAAGAAAGAGAGAGAGAGAGAGAAAGAAGCCATACTCTAATGAGTACCTCTGTACATCAAACTTTTTCATCATTTCTGTTTATTTTCTTAGAATAGATTCATAAATGGGGAGTTATAAGGCCAAAAGATGAATATATCTAAGGCTTTCAATACACATATCTGACTTGCTTTTTCCACAGGTTTTACCAATTTACATCCCCACACCAATATATATAAAAGAAGGTCAATCTCTCTATACTCTTTACCGCACATGCATCATGTTTGCAATTGCTGCCAGTAGCCGGGCTTGGTGGCTCAGCCTGTCATCCCGCGCCTTTGGCAGGCTGAGGTGAGGGGATGGCCTGAGCCCACGGGTTCGAGACCCGCCTGGGCAGCGAGACCTCATCTCTACAATAAATC